TGTGTGTGTGTGTGTGTGTGTGTGTGTGTGTGTGTGTGTGTGTGTGTGTGTGTGTGTGTGTGTGTGTGTGTACATATGTATTTGCCACTATGCTATCGGTCATTCTCAAAGATCCTGTGACCTTGTTACCGCCGTCGGACCGCAGGTATGTAAGAAATCAAAACATGTAAAACTTAATTATAATAGTTGGTAATGATATTGTAGAGAAGTTGCACTGAATTTGTGTCTCTTGTCATATATTTTTAAGGCTTTGAATATGACTCTCGGGGCAGATATTTGTGAATGGAGTGATCAGATTTTAGAGAACGTTTGCGTCCTCTATAAGTCCTGAGTGTTGCCACTTTCACGGAAAACATTGGGGGCATGTAAAAGGAGAATTACGCCGCATTTTGCTGTGCTGTGTTGCTGGAAGGCTTGTGATAAAAGTTGTGTTTCGGGCTGAAATAAACGTGCTGCTTTACAGACGTTATATTGTCAGGTAAAGAGGCACAAATGGGACAGGGAATAGTCGCTGTGGGGTGGACAGCTGTGCGTAAATGGCATCCCAGGACTAGTCTGGTCATGTCTGGTAAATGTATGTCTGATGACAGACGTGGATCGACCTGTGTAGAGCAGAGGTCAGTTGTTTACTTTTATGAAGCTTTGTTCCCGTTGAAGGACGCTCTCTGTGCGTCTTAGGCCGTGCGCATTTCAGCACCACGGAGGTGGACAGCAACGCACAAAGGGCTCAGAATTAAAGGAAACCTCGACACATTGTTTGAGTCTCTTCTAAATTCTGGTCAGTGCTATTTAAATATAAAGTGAAATACTGCTAGAAGAAATATTTCATATTTTAAATACTACTTATATTCATGTTAAAATATGAAATGAAAGGCTCCTAGCTTCAGCAGCGACCGTCGATGTCTCTTTTAATACTTTGTCAACGTCACTCGTTACTCTGAACTTTGTGTCGTTATGGATTTTTTAATATATATATATATATATATATATATATCTTAATTTCTAGCAATTGTTACTACCCTTATAATTCATGTTTCATAATATGATTATATATATATATATATACTATATATATATATATCTTAATTTCTAGCAATTGTTACTACCCTTATAATTCATGTTTCATAATCAATTTAGGAATATTGCAGATTACATCTGGACAAACTAATGCTGAAGGGAAGGGAAGAAAATATTGTGAGAGTAAAAACGGATTTGTGGTGCTGTGAAGCCAAAGTGCACAGTGGCTTTAGGGTGTGTGGGGGGTAAAATGTGGTTAGCATAGGCTCTGATCATGTGTGCGAAAGACTGTGTGCCAGTGTGGTGAGAGGAGCGGGGCAGAAACTTAAACATGGGCAGTGCTTTGTGTTGTGCGACTTAGGTGAGAGGTGCTAAGGGTTATCGATACTGGGTGGGGTGGGTACAATTTTCATGTACACAAAATAAAACCCTTGAAATAGGAACAAGCCGAAGCTGTGGTTATATTTGTGATTACGTGACAAGCTGGTAGAAACATACAAATAAAAACATGCTTGTACCTTTTGGTATATTTAATATTAAACGTGCCAAAATAATCCAACATCGTGCACGTGAAGAGTCGGTGGGGAAACTGATATGCAAATGCGTGTGTGGTGCACTTTCTCTGCGTGTTTAAAGTCTTACAGATACAGACACGTGTGAACATTTTCACGGGGAAATTGTGCACGTCTAAATCCTAACTTTTTCCCTCTTTTTAGCTATTGGACTGCGAGGACGTGGCCGTGACGTGACTGTGGACTCTCAAAACATCTGATAGACCGTGTGCCTGTGTATGTGTGTGTGTGTGTGTCATTAGTAAAAATAAATAAAATTATATATATTTTAGAAATTCATTTAAAGACAATGTGATGCTACTATCTTTCTTACATAAATTAAACATTAAGTCTATTGTTTTAATGTTAAGAAATTGCCTGCATATATTTGTTTGAATAAACAGCCTTATGTCAGAGCCTGTGTGTTGATTATTATGTATTATTATTTAATTCAGCTATGTGATATTGGCTGTGTTGAGGTTGCAGGATGTAAATCGGTATTAAAAAATATTTTAAACATGTGTTTTTTAAAGATTACTTTGTAAAAGATGAGAATTTAACACGACATTTGTAAATGTATTTTATGTCTGCTGTATGTAAGGGTGATTGAGAGACAGCTAGTCACTATACTCTTAATTTTACCCTGTTTGAAGCTGTTACACAACTTGCTGCTCCTTCTCGTCAGTGTCACGTTGACTTCGATCTCTTCTCTTCTGTCAAAGAATACGAGCAGCTGCATTATGTCTACAAGCAAACAATCTTATTCGTATACTTTTGTCCCTCTGCTGAGTACATGACAGCCCTCGTTTTGTCTCGCAGACCTTTTATTTGTCACAATTTTACGTTTAATTTGCGTGTGTGTGAGAGAGAGAGGAAGCATGGCGGCAGATGGGTGTGCTGGAGACTCCAAAAGCTGCTGCAAATAGCCTTTCGGGGTCGGAGTTGGGGAAACAGAGCACATACTGCCGAGCTTAAAATCATGGCAGTCTGTTCTTGTGAAACATCTGGACTCTGTAAGCATGACTGGCTCATTTGTGTGTATGAAAATGTAGACAAAACAATAAAATAAAGCGACGGAACATTCACACGACTGTCTCAATGTTTATGTAACGCGCGCACACACATCTCATCCTTGCTCAATGTTTTGGATGATGGGGAACTTACTACGATCGGGCAATCTCGCGAGAGTGTGGCTAACAAGAGTGTGGTTGGGCATTGTAGTCTTCCCTTT